TTCATTGGATAAATTACATTCACTCAGAGTTAAATCCTGTATACCTAGATACAGTTTTCTAATGTGGTTCCCTAATAATTTGCTTAGAAATTTTGCAAGAGCTATTCATCTTCATTTTTTTTCCTTTTTCTTTATAATTTCTTTGTCTGTTTTTGATATCAAGCTATCCTGGCTTCATAGATTGAGTTGGGGAGTATTCTCCCCTATTAACTTTCAGGAAGAATTTGTATAGAGTTGGTATTTTTTCTTAAATATTTGGTGTCATTCACCAGTGCATGTATCTAGCCCTGAAACTTTTCATATGAAAAGATTAAATATGGATTGTTTATTTATTGAGTATATGGTTTTCACATGGTGTATTACTTCTGAGTAAATTTTGGTACTTTATATCTTTTAAGAAACTTGTCCATTCTTTCCAATTGTCTAATTTACTCATATTTCCTTATTGTCATGTCTATATTTTGCATAAACTGAACTGAGGCACCCTCTCTTGTCCCCAGCATTGATAATTTGTCTCTTCTCTTTCCTTGTCAGTCATACTAGAAAGTTATCAACTTTATTCATCTTCTTAAATGACTAGCTTTTGGTTTCATTGACTTTTTGTATTGTTTAGTTTTCCATTTCATTAATTTCTGATATCCTGTTAATTCCTTTCTGCTATTTAGTGAAGCAAACCTTTTTTTGTTTTTTTTTTTTTTTTTTTTTTTTTTGCATTCGTTGGAGGCTTCTGTTGTTCCTGCTAGAAACATCTAATGCTATATATAAATTTCCTTCTCAGTACATCTCTAGGGGAATCTCACTGATTTGGATATGTTGTATTTTAATCTTTATTCCCTTAAAAACACTTTCTGATTTACATTTTGATTTCTTCTTTGACTATAGGTTATTTAGACCTGTGAGGTTTTGAAAGTATTTGGAGCTTTGAAATATTGGAGGATTTCCCAGATTTCTTTTACATTGACTTTTAATTTAATTCTGTTGTGTCAGAAAACATGCTGTGAATGATATGAATCCTATAAAATTTACTTGTTTTATGGATAAGCTGGCCTATCTCGGTAAATGTTTTGTGTGACCCTCAAAAGAATGTGTATTGTTAGGTTGCTGTTAGATTGAGTGTTCTATATGTCAGAGAGAATGAATTGATTGACAGTGTTGTTCAAATTTTCTATATTCTTCCTGGTTTTCTCACTACTTGTAATGTCAAATATTAAGAAAAGGTTTATTTTTTTAAATTATCAACTATAATTGTGGACTGCCTGTTTCTTCTTGAAGTTATATATGATTTTGCTCTATGTATTTCAACCTCTTTTATTAAGTTAATGAAAAATTTTTATTGTTATGACCTTCTGATGAATCATCCCGTTTATCATTATAAACCATCCATCCCACTTTGCCTCTAATAACATTATTTCCTTACATATCTCTTGTCTGATATTTATATTTCCATTCCTACCTTCTTAAGCTTATGGCTACTGCTAGTATGGGGTAACCCCTTCCATACTTTTGACTATTGCTTCTTTACATTTGCAGTGCATTTCTTTCAGATAACTTAAAGTAGGGCCTTTTTTATCCAATCTATTTCTGCCTTTTAATAAATGTGTTTACATTTAATGCAATTAGTAATATTTATCATTCAAAATATATTTCCTTTTTTTATTATTTTTTTACATAATGCTTTCATCATTTTTCATCTTTGCACAATGTATGCATTTTCATTTTGGTTATATTCCCCATACAATTGCACCCTCCCCTTATTTTAACCCTAATCCTTCCTCTCCCCATACCCCCTTCCCCCCGTAGTGTGTCTCTGGCTTATAGTTGCTTGTTGATTTTGATTTTTACTTTATTATAATTAGTCTTTTTCCTGGTCCCTTACAAAATATTTTTCTATTTAATCTATATGTTCTTTGTTTTCCTTTTCTCTGTTAACTGCCTTCTTTTATTCATCATTTTTAATGATTCCACTTTATTTTTTCTTTTTTGGTTTATCAGCTATATTCATTGTTATTTAGAAATTGCTTTAGGAGCTAAAGTAGTATCTACATCTTATCTCAAGCACTATTATACCACTTCATATATAGAATAAAAACTAACAGTAGAGTACTTCCATTTCTCCACTTTAAACTTTTTTTTTAATATTTATTTATTTATGCATACAAGAGCTGAGGTGCGGGCCAGAGGTGCAGGGAGTGGTGAGAAGACTCAATAGGGACAGAGTGGGGAGCAAAAAAGGCGGATTGACTGAAAAATACACTGATGAGGGGAGCAGTGGACAAGACCAGAGAGGTCTGCTGCACAATGTGGATAGTTCCCTGGCCGGCTGGGGATGGAACTCGTGCTGCAGAGGCTTTGGACAGCTTCAGTGCCGTTCTTAACTCCTTGTACCACCAGAGAGGCCCCCACTCCAACCTTTGTGCTATAGTTGTCAAACATTTACATTTTGCATCTGTTATAACCCATGTGTTACATTGTTAATATTTTTGTTTTAATAGTCAACTTCTTTTAAAGAGATTTATCTATCAGGGTAATACATATTTATTTGCATAATTATCATTTCCTTTTTTTAAAAAGATTTATTTATTCATGCAAGAGCTGGGGCACAGGCCAGAGATGTGGGGGGTGAGAGGATTCACCAGAGACAGAGTGGGGAACAGAACAGGCAAATTGACTGAAATACACTGCTGAGGGGAGCAGCAGGCAAGACAGGAAGGTCTGATGCACCATGTGGGTCTCCTCCCTGGCCAGGGATCTAACTCACGCTGCAGTGGCTGCAGATTGCTTCATAGGTTGCGTCTTAACCCCTTGCTTCATAGGTTGCATCTTAACCCCTGCACATAATTATCCTTTCTAAAGCCCTTTGTTCTTTTGCTGTATGTCCTTGTGGGTCTACTTATGGTAAATTTTCAACTTCTAAAATCTGGAAAGGTCTTTGTTGTCCCTTTGCCTAAGAATGATATTTTGGCTGGATGTAAAATTCTTGGTTGATGGTTTTCAGTACTTTAAAAATGTTGCTCCACTGTCTTCTCAATAGTATTATTTACAACAAGAAATCTGCCATCATCCTTATCTTCATTCCTTTGTATGTAGCATTTTTTTGCCCCTTTCAAGATTGTTATCATCACTGGCTTTAAGTCATTTGATTATCGTGTCTCATAGTGTAGTTTTTTCCATGTTTCCTATACTTGGGGCTCATTAATTGTCTTGAATCTGTGAACTTAGAGCTTTCATCAAATTTGGGATTTGCCATTATTTCTTCAACTATTGTATCTGTATCATCCTGTTTCTTCTCCTTCTGGGATTCCAATGACTCACATATTCGGAGACTTGGTGGTGTTCTATAACTCTTTTTCTATGTTTTTCTTTTTTATATTTTCTCTCTGTTTTTCATATTAAATAATATATATTGGTATATTTTCAAATTTAGCAATCCTTTCTATAATTCAAATCTGCTATTAATCCCATCCAGCATATTTTTTCATCTCACATGCTGTAGTTTTTATTTCCAGTGATTCAATTTATGTCTTTTAAAATATATTTCATTTATCTACTTAGCTTTACAAATATTTGAAATGCCATCAGAATTGTTTTATTGTCTTTCTCTGTCAACTGTAACAATCATGCCAATCAGTCTGGGTTAATTTCAATTTTCTTTTTATAACAGATCTCATTTTCTTGCTTCTTTGTATGCCTGGTTATTTTGTTTGGAAGGTGGACACTTTTGTATTTTATAAAATATTATTAAACTTTATTTAAGGATGCAGTTATTTGTAAGTGATTTAATTCTTTCTGGTCTTGCTTTTAAGATTTGCTAGGAGGGAATCAGCCAGTCTTCAGTCTAAAATTAAATGTTTCTCACTTTGGGTACTCTACCCAATGCCTTGTGAATCTTATAGTTTTCCAGTCTAGCTTTTGGGAAGAGTGCCTATGGCTGGCTTTGTGTGAGTGCCAGGCACTATTACCTCTAATAGGAAGCCAATTCCACAACCTGGAATAGCTGTGCATATCAGTACTTGGTTGACTACCTAATGGGACCTACTGCAAATCTCCAAAGTTCTCACCTTTCCAGTACCCCAGCCTGTAACTTGTTACCACCTTGGTCTCCCTGGATTCTCTGCTCTATCTCCTCAATTCAAGGAGTCCATCGGATTGTACCTGAGTCTTCCTCCCTGGGCCATGGCCAAGAAACTCTCTCAGTGCAGTAAGCTGGAGCAAAAGTAATGCTCAGCTTGCTTGTTTCCCACATCTCAGTGATCATTGCCCTGTACTGCCTGATGTCCAGTGTCTTGCAAAGTGTTGTTTTACATATTTTGTTTGTTTGGGGAGTTGTTTTAGATAAGAGACTCAACCACATGTTCACATAGGCCATAGCAAGTTTCTCAATTTTTCAGAATTACTATTTTCTCATCTATTTAAAAAAAGGATGAAAACATTTTGCTAATGATTTTACCATGCAAATTGGATAAGATTTGTATTTGTGCAGCACCTGGAACATGGCAACTATTCGGCAAGTGCTTAGGTCTTTATCTCTGCACCCAGTTGTTACTTCTTCCTGGTTTTACCTTGTTTTATCAACCTGATTCTTGGTTGAGCATCCAATCAGGGTCTCTATATTAAACAACAAAGTACATGTATGAATCATTCAGGTTTTAACTTGATCAGTTTCAGAATTCTGCTATCAAGAAGATGTATAGACACAAGCTTTATCCTCCTTTGATTAGACATTTACCTTCTCTGAAATATTTTCCAATTCAACATACAGGAATTACTCATTTATTTGTAGGCTAAGTGGCAGTAGGTTTTAGGTCAGTGATGTGTGGTGAATGGAATTTCAGAATACCAATGTATGATTTTGTTGGGATTTTCTACTAGATTATGTACATCAACCTTTTACTTCCCCTTTTCTTTCTTCCTCATACTTCCCAAGGAGTAACCTGAAGGACAGATGAGTGTTTGCAAGTACTTAACCACTTTTCTCTTGTCTCTTTTCTCTCCTATGACAGTGTCGGGAGGACGCAGCCGCCTTCACCTCATTGATCTTGGTAGCTGTGTGAAAGCTCTTAGCAAAAATCGGGAAGGAGGGTCAGGTCTGTGCCTCTCACTCTCTGCTCTGGGGAATGTCATCCTGGCTCTCGTCAACGGCAGCAAACATATCCCATACAAGTAAGTGACTAGTCTACTCAAAGAATGAGATGAGATAAGCATGGGGCCAGGTCTGGTATGGAACTCTCCATCCACTGACATGGAGAAGGGTGTGATACAGAGGGACACCCACCTTGTTAATTCAATGCCACAGTCAGTCTTTGCTAACAATTGTCTAATATGTGATCTTCCAAATTCAAAAGCTGTGTAAATACTTAAAATTACTCCAGTCCTAACATTAGGTTGCTTAAGTCAGACAAAATAGGACATTGGGTCTCAGGGGCGGTCTCTAATCACAATTGCCATTGGTGGACTATAGTCATCATTGTATTGGCTTATCTGTTTCATAGCGATGCAAGAGATGAGCAGATTGAATTACCCTTCCCTTAAGAGTAAGAATGGCAAATTTAACCAATAAAAGTTCAGAATATTTGAAAAATTCAGTTAAATTTGAATTTCAGATAAACAATAAATAATATTTTAGTATAAGTATGCCCCCAAAATTTCCTGAGACATAGGCGTATCCTATATTTTATCTGGCAGCCCTAGTTAGTAGAGCTTATAAAGCTTGGGGAATGATCACTCACCATCCCATGCAACTGTTTTATTCTACTTCCCAGATCCTTTCCCTGTATTGTTAGTTCTCCAAGAAGATGAAAGTAGAGCTACTCCTATCACTGGAAGACCTAAAGACTTACATGTTATCTGTGTCCAAAAATGACCCAGCCCTGAGGCACCCCTCCCACCATCACCCCCACTCAGTTTACCAGTGGAGGATGTGGTGGTGGGGTAATGAATACTTTCCTGGTTCTAGAGGCCCTTGCCAAAGTTCATAGTGCCATTCATTAGCTTTCTGAACCTTCATTCATCATAAACTGAGATTTATAACTATACACATTCACACTTATTATACACATCACAGGGATATAAGATTGAGAATAATATAATGGATGTGAATGTTTTTAATAAAATTTGGAGCACTAGAGCAAGTAACCAATAATGATAATCTAATTGAGCCTATTCTCATCTCTACAAGTGATATCTACCTTGTAGAGCTGCCATAAGAATTAAGCAAATGTACATGGAATCATTTTTAATATGCAAATTCTTATAAAATATAAGCTATTATTGTATGGAAGAAAAAAAGGTAAGTTAGGCAATCTGTTCCATAATAACAGAAATTCAGGATGAGTCCAAGAGTTCTCCTTTCTCTCTGCTCTAAGTTGATGCCAACACTGTCATTTTATTCTCCACCAAGAGTGTCATTACTCAACTGACTTTATGACTAAATGATGATTATAATTCTGTGTGTCTCTCTGTTATTGCAAATTAGAATGTTAGTTGGATAAACCCAGAAATGGTTTTCCCAGTCCTTGTGAGGATCATTTTCTATGAAAAAAAATTTCAAGTTGAAGGTTTATAAAATTTCTTTCAGTGTCATTTCTGCAGTTGGAGAAACTCAATTTGTGATTAGAAGAAAGAAGGAAGGAAAAAAAAAGATAGAAAAGAGAAGAAAAGGGGGGAAAGGGTCTGGAGAGGTGATTTCAGGGTTGGAGATCTTGGATAAAAAGTAAAGCAATATCAACCCATACTTAGAGAGGGAAAGACAGGGAGAAGAGTGTCCAATGGATGAGGGTGGAGCATTATGGGGCTTTGGCAGTGAGTGTGATGTGATAACACACATCTGAAGAGTTATGAACCTATACTTCTAAATCATCTATAGTGTTAACAGATGATACCTCATTAAAAAATACTACAATTTCATGTGATAATTTAACAGGTTATAGATAAAATTTAAAATACCACCATATGCGATAACAAATTATACATTTTACTTATAGAATGCTCAGATTCTTTCTCTAGAATGACATGCTTTTATGGCTTCAATAAATGTTTGTTGAATTGACAATGAGAAGGATGAATAAATGTCAGCATATGAAATTATTTTTCTTTTGATAATGTAGGCTTTTTTTAAAGCTAGAGTTAGAGTCAGGATTTATTTTAAATAAGCAAGGAAACAGTAAGAATTGTTTTTATTAATAGTTCAAGGTCTCTTATTAAATTAAACATATTTAGCATCGATTAGACATAATGACCAGCCACCTGCCTCCTTGGGAGGGCTGGCAAAGTGTGAACTCCCCCAGCACTCCCCATTCCCTGCAGACTTTTGTCTGCTTCAGTTCTGGGAATTCCCATTATTCTATTCTGATTCTGAGGGAGTGATAATTAAAGTATTTCTATTTGAAGAAGGCACAGACTTAAGGTAGATTCTGTGTCTTCACAAGACACAGTCAGAGAGTTGTCCCTTGCCATCAGGTCCCTTCTGGAGATCTTGCAAGGCTGCCTGTCACTTAGTGCCAGAAAACATGTTGACTCAATATCCAGCCAGCTAGCTCATCCTCCCCAAAACATTCTTTTGCCAATTCATTTATACAACTCAGTCTATATATATATATATTTTACATCATTGTTCATTGTCCTACAATGTTTGTTTTCTTAGGTATAGTCCCTACAGCATTCCCACCATCAAATCACCTGTGCACCACCACCCCATGTACAAATCAGTTTTATTTCTCTGTATTTAACACCCATTTTTGTGTATAAGCTTTAAAAGACCCTTGCTATAATATTGACTCAGATTCATAGCCACAGTATATATTCAATATTTGGAATCTGCAAATCACATTTACAAAGTGATTAATCAACTAGAAACTATCCTCTTTCAAGGTGCAGGATAAGACAAAGATTTACTCAAGTCACCCAGCCAGTTGGTGGCAGGATCAAACTGCATCACTTTTCATAGCTCTGAGCCCACATTGCCAGTCTATTCCCCCAACCTCATCAAGCTCTGTAATATATTAGCTGCTTTTGCTCTGCACAGCATGGGGTCTTCAGCACAGCAGGATGGCCCAGATTTCTTTTATCAATTCAGTCAGAGCTCTTAAGCCACATTATGCAGCATTTTGTTAGCATACTAAGCATCTTGCTGTGCCACAAACCTTGCCTTTGGAGTAAGTTCCTGAAAGAGGAGAGGTTTCCTGCCCTTGCACTTTTCTCTTATTCCTGCTCACTTAGAGAAACCAGAAAATCAAACTCCACATCTGAAGCCCTCCCACTCCTTCCAAAACACACCAAAAATTACTACCTCTTCATTTGTCACCAGAGAGAACTCTGTGCTTGGAATCTGCATCACTTGTGTTTGCTTCTGGGAAATTAACTGGAATGTGCAGAGGGAATATAACGTGTCCTCATTTCTCTTCTTCGTTGTACCAGACTATCTGTCATGTGAGCAAACCAGAAAGTGAGTTTGGATTCATTACCCATCCCAGGCGCTCCCAGGCACCCTAGGTGTGCCCCGAATGGTTTTGACTTTGCAAATATTGCCTTTGTAGGCGGCAGATGCAGGGGTGGAATGGGTTCCCAACCTCAGCTATTACACAGACGGGGTTTGTTGGCCAGTCCAGGTCCCATAAATCAATGGTAAATGGTGACACCATTGAGAAAAGCATGCGGAAAAGGCAGGGAGACCACCCAAGAGCCCACCCCCAGTCAGTTCTGCACTGACAGGCTACACAAATGACTCCCTAACTTTGGAGAACCTCTAGTCTAGGGCAATCTGTCTAGTCCTGAGCATTTTGACAGCACATATGTAAATTCCCTTCCACTGCTCATTTGCTATGACTCACCACCTCACCACTTCTTGGGCACCAGGGTAATAGGAGTCTTCCCATTTGATGGAGTGGAAAAGGGAGCGAGGGCAATGAAGTGAGTTCCTATGCCAAAAACCAGGGTTTCAAGCCCTCATCACTGGAGGTGGTCCAGAGAGGGCCCACCAGCACAGGGGTCTGTGTGTGAGAACTTAGCTTTGGTTAAAGGTTATTATGTCCCACTTGATCAACAAGAATACAGAATTTCCAAACTTGGGAATTCTAACCACTACCCAGCTATGTCAAAAAGAGTTTTTAGTACTTCTTAGGTTTGCTTGTTTGCTTGTAAGGCTTACTAGACCCTTAGGGTGCATCACTTTCACACAGTGATCCTTCAAGTCCTGAGCATTTATCATTCATAAGTATTACTCCATTTGGAGAAATAATTACTTTAAGTGGTCAGGTGATCTATTTACTTACTTGCAAACATAATGCTTGTACTCTGGTTCTAAACAACAGATATTTTATGTCTTGGCTTCCATTTAGCAGGAGGTCATGGAAAATCATTCTATGATTCTGCCCTGTTGTATCTGTCTAAAACACCCTTCCCAAGTCAACTTGAATTGTGGATTGCATAACAATCCCATGAGCGAAGTGAGGCTGGATGCCTTTCTTTAATGGATTTGGTCTGTGGTTCAAAGTAAGACCTAATCCTGCAGTTGTTTCCAACAGCCAGTGATGTGCTTTGGGGCTTGATCACATCCTCTTTCTCTCTGTGGTCAGTGCACCAGCAGAAGCAGATGGAGCCTGAGACCTTCAGTCTGCAAGTAAAAACTGCTGCAGGGTCCACTTGGAAAAGGCTTTCACCCACAAAAGTGACCAGATTCCCATCATCAGGGTCAGGAAGTCCTCCTAAAGCCCTAGTGAGGCATCAGGAACCAAGGTTTTTGGGGGTTTTTTTTAGTATTTTATTTTATATAATTCTTACATCATTTTTCATTTTTGCACAATGTATGCATTTTCATTTTGGTTATATTCCCCATACAATTGCCAAGGTTGTTTTTTAAGAACTTCACAGCATCAGAATAGCAAAGTCAGTGTCACTTGTGGAAAAATGATATTTTATCAATAAAGGCAACTTTTAAAAGTTGTTATCACCTCTTCTCCTCCTTGAGGGGGTGTGGTGCTGGAAACTACCCATAGTACCTCAGCAGCCATCATAAAATTCATAAAGTCTTTCCAGGACTTGCATGCCTGAAGAATGCAGCTGTCTACTTCCTCTCTTTGAGAAATACTTTCTCCTAGTAACCATTTAGTTATTGGGTTAGTGTCTGCTTTCTCAGAACTTGAAACTCACTAGTCTGGGAAGCTGGA